GTCTTTGAGGTGCCCTACGAGAGTGCTATGCGGTAAAACTGTCTTAGCCGGGTCTAGTTAGGTTACCTTAGGTTCCTTGTGCTCTGATCCGCCCGCTGTCCCGCCAGCCTGACTGACGTTTTATTTTCCTTTCGCGAACCTCCCTCCACCACCCCCTCCATCTGTCACTTTTGGACCATTGTCGGCGCACTGCTTTGATAGCCCTTCAATCTGCCACCCCAGCAGCTCGACGCTCCTTACAGCCCGCAAAGAGCTCACCTCCTCCCTCTGCTGCGCGAGACTTTCGACTTTCCTTATATCCTACCGCCCTTGCGGTCCCCTAGCGCGACGTCAAAAGAGCACCACAACCGCCGCCACCTTCCTAAACTGCCACCTTCTACCGAAATCGCTCTTGGTTGCCTGCGCCATCCATCTTCCCAACAAGTGACACCTGCGATACTCGCCGGCCCGAAATCATGGCCACGAACGGTGCTTCGGAGGCCTTTACGCCCCAGGATGTCCTATCGGCTATGGTTACGATGCGTGGTGGCGAGCAAGAGAATAAGAAGAAGGCGCACGCCTACTTGGAACGGTTCCAGAAATCTGTCAGGACACCCGGACACGGAGCGAATGACCAACACCCCTGCTAACGAATTTCTGCAGAACTCTGCGTGGAGCACCATCTTTGGTATTCTCAAGGACAGCGCAGAGCCCGAGGCCCAGCTCTTTGCGGCCATTACGTTACGCGGAAAGGTAGATAGGTGCGGCGGTACTTGATGCGACAGCGAGCTCACTATGGCGTTTTTCCAGATCACCTACGACCTCTCGACGCAAGTCCCAGAAGCCGAACTCCCTGCGTTGCGGGATCAAATCCTTCTTCTCCTCAAAGGCTTCGCCGCCGGCCCCAAGCCGATACGAGTCCAGCTTTGCGTCTGTCTGGCAACACTAGCGGTGCAGATGACGGCATGGAAGGACGTCCTTCCCACGGTGGTCTCGTCTCTCGGTGACAGCGTCGAGAGCCACGCAGCCATCCTCGACTTCCTGCGCGTGCTGCCCGAGGAGGTGACCGAAGGCCGCAAAATCACCTTAACTGTATGTGGATCACGGAAACATCGAACGGCCTCTCACTTCCCGCGACGTGGTTTTACCGGGCCGATTTCAACAAGGATCAGAGTCTAATTGGCAATGATAGGAAGAAGAGCTTTCCGAGCGGACCAAGGAGTTGCTGGGTGACAATACGGATCAGGTCGTGCAGTTGCTCATCAACTACTCACAATCTTCTAGTAATATGCATCCCTCTTAACCCCCTTTTTTGCGGTCGAGGCTGACTATTGAGTGTAGCATCCGCCGCTCAAAACCCTCAGCTGATGGAATGCATCACGTCGTGGCTGCGCGAGGTCCCCGTCAGCACCATTGTCAACTCCCCCCTCCTCGACGTCATCTTCAACGGTGTGGGCAACGATTCGGCTTCCCAGGAGGCAGCGGAATGCTTGTGCACAGTCTTTCGAGAAACGCGGGATGTGGATGACAACTTGGAGACGATCCAGATTTTGCTTCCCCGCGTTATTGCTCTGCGTCAAAGAATTGCCGTGGTTGTCGAAGAGGAGGACACCGAGGTTTACAAGTCTCTGACCAAGATTTTTGCCTTGGCCGCGGAGGCCTGGGTTGTTGCGATTGCCCGTGAGCCCGGCCATTTCAGGCCCCTTGTGGACGCTGTTCTCGAATGCGCCGCCAGAGACAAGGACCGCGATGTCATTGAGCACACATTCCAGTTCTGGTACGAGCTGAAGCAGTACATCGTCCTGGAGCGCTACATTCAGGCCAGACTGGAGCTTGTGGACATCTACTCAAAGCTGGTCGATATCTTGCTCACACACCTGCGATACCCGCAGTCCGAGTCAGCCAGCGAGACGGATCTTTTCGACGGCGACCGCGAGGCCGAGGAAAAGTTCCGCGAGTTCAGACACCAGATGGGCGACACTCTCAAGGACTCTTGCGAGGTCATGGGAGTGACGGACTGCCTCACAAAGGTGCTCGAGGCTATCAAGGTCTGGATGCCCAGCTACGCCAGCCAGGCAACGGCGACCTCGGTCCCTCACTGGCAAGAGCTGGAAGCACCTCTTTTCGCCATGCGTGCCATGGGACAGATGGTTGACAAGGAAGAGAGTATTGTCTTGCCTCAGCTCATGCCTCTTCTCGTCCAGATTCCCAGCCACGAGAAGCTGCGCTTCGCCACAATCATGGTACTGGGTCGCTACACTGAGTGGACTTCGGCCCACCCCGAGTACCTGGAGCCGCAGTTCAACTACATTGTGACGTCTTTCCAAACGGATTCAAAGGAAGTTGTCAGAGCGGCGGCCATGGCCATCAAGTACTTCTGCACTGATTGCAAGCAGCTTCTGAGTGGCCAGGTGATCCAGATGCAAGAGTTTTACGACCAAATTCTCGACAAGCTGCCCGATCAGAGCCAGGAAGAGATCACGGAGGGTGTTGCCAGCGTTGTTGCTGTGCAGCCGCCCACAGAGATCTACAAGCTGCTCAAGCTGTATTGCGACCCGTTGGTGCAGCGACTGATGAACAAGGCCAATCTTGCAACCGACGACAAGGGCAAGCTGGCGCTCGCAGGTAGGTTTCATGAGTACATTATTGGGGACATATGACTAACTAAGCCTTTAGACCACCTCCAGCTCATCACCATCTTCATTCAGATCGTGGTGCCCTATGTCGGACCTGGCGAGGAGAACCCGGCAGTCAAGTACTGGCAGGAGGTCTTCCCCGTGCTGGCAACAATCTTGGACAACTTCATGGGCTTCGTTCCGATTTGTGAGAGGATCTGCCGCTGCTGGCGAAACATGATCATCTCCTACCGCACTGCCATGACACCCCTGCTTCCGGAGATGGCGAACAAGCTGGCCGGCGGCTTCGCTGCGTCGAGGCAAGGCGCGTTCCTCTGGGTCACGGCTGCGATTCTGCGCGAGTTCTCTGAAGATCGGGAGCACGTCAACCAAGAGATTACTCAGAGCATCTATGCCTTCTTCGAGGCGCAGACCACAACGTTCCTGCGCGTCATGAGCGAGCTACAGCCGAGCGAGCTGCCCGACGTCATCGAGGACTTCTTCAGACTCTTGATTGACGCGCTCCTCTACTATCCCGGCAGAATCGTTCCCTCGGAGCTCTTGGGGCCCATCTTTGAGGCTGCCATTTACGCCCTGACTTTGGAGCAGCGCGATCCGCTCTCGGCGACGCTTCACTTTCTCCGCGACCTTCTCACCTACGGAGGTGACAACCCTGCGACGTCTGATGTCCTGCCGCCGGATGTGGCTGCTCAGATCCGTGAGGTAGTGAGCAAGCTTCTTGCCACGCACGGTGAGAAGCTGGTCAAGCAGGTTATGGCCGGAATGATGATTACGTTCCCTCGGGATTGCTTCGCTGACGGTAGTGGTGTCTTGCTGGCCATGTTCGAGCTTTTCCCCGCCCAGACGACGACTTGGGTTGAAAACACTATTCAGCTTCTGCCTCCGGGCACCATCACACCCGCCGAGGCCAACCGACTCATGGCCAAGATCAGAGAGCGTCTCAGCGGCAACGACCCCACCGCCATCAGACAGGTGAGGGCGCTGTTGCAAGACTTCACCAACACATATCGTCGGCGCTACGTGGCTCCAAGAGAGGGTCTCGGTCAGCTGGAGGCAGCTCGCTTCCACTTCACTGGTTAAGGATGGGATATTGATGGAGGAGGGTTCTATAAAGGTCACGACTGCCTCGAGTGCTGTTACAAGCAGCGTTAGTGGGTTGAGTTGTGGAGATAAATTGCCCATCGAAGGGGCTTAGGGATTATGAGCATGGGAGATAGGAAATGGAGAGGATGGAGATGGAGAGCTTCCACTTGGCCTGACTGGATGCGGATAGTATTAGGATGAATGAGACCTAGGCTCCAGGATCACCCATTCGTGTCCTGCTGCCGAGGCAGGTGGAGGGAAGACAGGCGAAGGGGCATTTCGAAGCCTAGTTAGAGGCAATGATCGAGGGAACGGGAGGAGTCGGGTCACGAATGCGGTGCAGTTGTTGGGGACGGACCTCGTTCTCTGCAAAGTAGAGACAAAGATGATAGACCGAGATTTGTGAGCATACATGGCTAAATATGTTTGGGGCGGCAAAGAGCGATGGCCTTTCACAGACCGACTGATAGGGGCGCATTGCCTGGTTAGAAATTCAAAAGTTTCAAATGCAGTTGTTGGCTGGTCAAGATGTCCCTGTAACACATGGTGATGCTTTTGTGCTCCTTTGCTTGAACGAGCACAAGGACCATGAAATCACGAGTTGTTGGGTTCAGGATGGGCTCATTTCTAATCATAATCTCACGACCGGTACTTTGTGTCTAAACCTAGCTGATAACTTACCCGCTTAAAATCCACCGGCAAGCTTCAATGAAATGTTTTCCTCTAGACTGTCAGGACTACAATCTAGTAGATGAAGTCATACAGAGGGGGGAGAACCATTGTGTCAGTCGGCGCTCTTCGAGACACATCCCGGTAAGGTAGGGAAGAGAACCCTGCAGGTGGCCCGGGCTTCGCATGCACTAGACGCCATTGGACACAGCAACACAGCTTAATGACCCAACGACGCAAGCACCGCGACCTGGACCTGCTCGACGCGACGACGGCCAAAAAAAAAGTAAGAGCGAGAGATGTCTCGTTATGATTGCTTCCCGACCTCTCTCTCCGAACCACCTTTGTTTCCACCTCGCACTTCCCGTTTGCTTTTAAGCAGTCGAATGAGCACTGGCCCAGCGCCCAGTCGCGATACGGAGGCGAAAGTACAGCCTGCAGCCTTTACCTAGCTGGAGGCAGCTGCCTTCGTTCCCCGACACCTTACCCCAATCACGGCGGCACACTGCGACTTCTTATTTAACTCTTCTTCCAACTCCTTGTGTCCGATCGCCCTCTTACGAAGCTTTGATACGAAAGCAAAGCGATTAGACGGATTGCCAAAGATCAAAGGCACCATTCCTCGTCGCAAACATGCCTCCGAGCAGTGGCACAAACCGAATGGCCCAGTATGCCAGGAATGCATCCATGGACTCGGGCCTGCCAAACGGAAGCAACAACCCGTTGAACCAATTGCGCCCAGAGGCAGCTGGCTTCCCTACTCGACAAACCATCACCGAGTCTGCGAGGCTACCTGCCCCCAAGCCTCTCGCGTCTGCCATACCCTTGGCGTCCCACCTCCGCCAGCCTGAGCTTGGCCCTGCCCAACCTCAATCCGCACCGCCCACGCATTCTCGTCTGCCTCTGCCCGATAGCTCCCCGCCTCCACCGCAACGAAAGCGATCCAACTCGCAGAGCAGCGATGGGCCTGGTTTCTGGCCCGAGTCTCACATAGATAGTCAGTTTGGCTCGCCTACCACCCAACGCACTGAGCGATACGACGCCGGCATCGACGACCGCCTTGGTGCGCTGCCGCACGCGCTGCAAGCCGCTGCCGAAGTGCCTGCGATGCCCAAGTTTGAGGATACCCATCAGCAAATGGGAAACAACGGGATGCCGAGCTTCATCATTGGAAAGGACGGCTCCATGAGAGTGATGCCAAAGAACCAACATGCTTTGCCCATTACACACGGCGGCATGGTTCACTCGCGAGAGCAGCAGCTTGAGCAGGATGCATACTCGAGCGAACCTCTCTACAACAACCACTCTCCGCAGCGCCAGACAAGGATTGCCATTCACCCCACAGCCGTGAAGCGACCGTACGGACCCCCCGCCTTTGAGGATGATGAGGAAGTCTTCTCCGACGCTCCAACCCGTAGAGTTCCACAGCCTCAGCAAAGTTTGAGGCGTGTTATCAGAAGAGATAGGCCTCCGGAGTCCCGGCGAGCCGAACTCTTTCCAGAGGAAGAAGACGTCGACGGCAGCCTGGCTAGTGACTATCCTGTTACGGAGGACGACCACGGCACTCCCCGGGCTAGTCGTAAGAAGAGTATGCCAACGGAGGTGCCCCCCCTCGAAGGCCCACTTCCGATTGCGGCCCGCGGCCAGCGAGACAAATCACGGAAGCGACGTCGTGATAAGTGCGACTACGGAGATGAAGAGCTCCAGAGGATGACATACTCCCAACTACGCGAGCAACCCTTTGACGAAGATCCTGCCAAGACATCCCTTCCAACGGCTACGCCTCTGAATGGTGACAGTCTTTCGGCCAAGCTCGAACATTTCAAGGACCAGCGCGAACCAGACCAGAAAACATTCTTTAGTCAGATGAGTGTTGGCGACTGGGAACGTTCCGGTGACTGGTTCCTGGACCAGTTTGGAATTGTTGCAAAGAAGTTGAAGGAGGCCCGCAAGGAGAAGCGAGACATGGTTGAGCGCTTCGAGACGGAGATTGCCAACAGGGAGGAGGCAGTTCGCGTCCGGACGGAGAACATTACGAAGAAGCTGAGCAAGATCCGCCACAAGGGCGAAGACATGTTGGCAGACAAGGAGGTTTGAACACACCCTGCAGAGTGTCATCACAAGGCGCCGTGTATGCTTTTATCGAGGTGACGGGATATCGGGTGCAGGCAAAAGGGCGTTCGGATGTGTAGCGAATTTTGATGACACTTTATGGCTAATGATTAATGGCTATCATGACTGGCGTATTGGGGTGGTTTGTTTGTATCATATTCCCGGCGTTGGCACAGGTAGTCTCTATGTCATTGATAGACCGTTCTTACAAAACAAATGATTCCTTGACCGATCTGTCTTTACGGACGACCAGTCTCATCTGATGGCCCGGATTGTTTGGCAGGATGCCCCTCCTGACGTTATCCGAAAATAGCTCATAGGCTGGGTAGTAGCCGTCGACGAACTTGACGACCTGCTCATCAGTCATGCCCGCACCCCTTTCGCGACGGAGCGCAGCCTCTTGCTGCAGGCGCCAGTCGTAGACGTACTGGGTGTCCTCGGCATCAATGTGGATAAAGACGTCGAGGAGATCAGTCATGACGTCGTACTCTTTGAGTCTGTCATTCACCAGCAGCAGGTGCTCGAGCTTGTGCTTCTGGAGCGTCCTGCTGGGCGCCTTCCACTTGACTTCCACCTCGGCCTCTGGCAGGGCGCGGAAGCCGACGCACCAGCCCTCAAAGATGACGACCTGGACTTTTGGCTGGCCGGGGCCGTTGACCTGTGTCCACTGGCTCTCGGGGACGCGGTCGCCCTGGCCGGAGAAGGCTGCCTTGTCGTAAGAGGGGACTCTGGTGGGCTGACCCTTGGTGATGCTGTCGAAGAATGCACGCGCGAGCTGGGTGTCGTGCGTTCCTGGCTCGCCGCGCTGCTGGACGAGGAGGTTGTCCGAGTGAGAGCGCGCCAAGGCGAGTTGGTCCTCGTGCGTGAGGTAGAGGTCGTCGATACTGAAGACGAGGGTGGAGTGGCCTAGTTTGGTGAGGGAGTCGGCTAGGGCGCGGACGAGGGTTGTTTTGCCGACGCCCTGGACGCCGTTGAGGCCGATGATGAAGGGGCGTTTTGTTGCTGCTGCTTTATCATCCTGTGGGGTTGTACGGGTTTTTAGGAGGGAGGTGATGAAGGGGATGCAGAGGGGGCTTTTGTCGTCGATGATGGGCGGTGCGGCGGCGGCCATGGCGGCGGTGGTAGGGATTGGAAGTTACCGGTGATCGGGTGATGCCTGTGGATGCGGAGGTGATCCGGCGAGACAGGTGAGGGACTTCATGGCCGGTTGGACGCCGATGCCGAGAGGTGCCCGGCGGGGTTCTGCGGGATGCGGGGCGGCATGCATCCTCGCGGCGGGTTGACGCCGAAGCAATGGTGTAGTTTCCCCGGGCTCGTGTACGCACTCATTTTTCGCTTCGTGTTGATTACCGCGGGTGCACCATGGTGAAGAGTATGTGTGTCGGCCCCGGCAGTTTACAATGTTTTACATGGTTCAGGTGAGCTGGGAGCTGTCACTGCAAGGTCTTTAGAAGAAAGAGCTCATCTTTAATGTATCAATAATCAACTAAGGTACCTTAGGTAGGAGCCTAGAAAGAATCGGCAGAACCCCACGGCATCTCAACACATGCGGCAAGCGAGCATACCCGAGATCTTACCAAGGCTAAATTTCCTCGTAGGGAACCATTGAATTTAAGTTGCAAGATTCACAGGGGACTCTGGACCTCCCAGGACAGACTTTGGTCGGCAGCTGGGGTGACCAGTGAGAAGAAGGGGCTGGTATCCATCTCTTTCGGCGCCGTCTATGTTCCCTGGGACCATCAAGTCAGCACAGGTCCGTCGGCATCGAGTGGGCACGGCATCCCGCTCTCTCTCAAGCCTTTGGACCTTGGACCTTGGTGGCCGTTCCCCAGTGTTCCACGGCGCCAGACACTGGGGAGACGCTGGGGAAGTACGTACCCGCTGCCGACCGGAGACTGGGCGAATACAGCGCTGTGAGTGGTCAGACTCGGGGTTGAGCAGGGGCATGTGACATGGGGTGGCGGGGTTGGCTTTCTTCCCCACATGACCTCATGTGCACGATGGGGTACGTGGGTACCTCGACACGCTCGAGTCCATTGGAGACTTTGTAGCCCACGGCAGACGGAGCATGTGAAGTTTGGCCTTAGCCGTGTTGGGACTAGCGTATTTCGTCGGCTTCGGACACAGCAAGCTGCCTCGGCTCTCTGAGCGGCTGCCGTCACGCTGCACAGAAGACAGTTGCCGGAAGCGCAGAAGTTAGAAAACCACCACGTCCGTCCTTTCACACGGACAAAAGATTCATTGGATTGATCATCGTTGCGACCTCTTAACCATATCCTATTCCTTACCCTCCTACCTTGTCTGGATTTCTCTGTGCCATCTATACTCCCACTTAGCGACTGTATTCTCTCTCTCTCTTCAACCCATCACATACACACAATGGCTGGTCAGCTACGCTTCGACGGCCAGGTCGTCGTCGTCACAGGCGCTGGCGGTGGCCTCGGCAAGGCCTATGCCACCTTCTTCGGCTCCCGCGGCGCCAGCGTCGTTGTCAACGACCTCGGAGGCTCCTTCAAGGGCGAGGGCAACTCAACCAAGGTATGGCATCTGATTCAAAAAAGTATCCGAGTGAGCGCACCGCTGACGTCTGACTATCTAGGCGGCCGACGTTGTCGTCAACGAGATCAAGGCTGCCGGCGGCAAGGCCGTGGCCAACTACGATTCGGTCGAGAACGGTGACAAGATCATCGAGACGGCGATCCAGAACTTTGGCCGTATCGACGTGCTGATCAACAATGCTGGCATCCTGCGCGATATCAGCTTCAAGAACATGAAGGACGAGGACTGGGACCTGATTATGAAGGTGCACGTCAAGGGATCGTACAAGTGCGCTCGCGCGGCATGGCCCCATTTCAGGAAACAAAAGTATGGCCGTGTCATCAACACGGCCTCGGCTGCCGGTCTCTTTGGCAGCTTCGGCCAGTGCAATTACTCTGGTACGTGTCGCACCCGGTGCCCAATTGATGCAAACCGCCTCGAGATGCTAATTCGGTTCATGCAGCTGCCAAGTTGGCCATGGTCGGCTTCACCGAGACTCTGGCAAAGGAGGGCGCCAAGTACAACATCCTGTGCAATGTCATTGCACCAATCGGTACGTGCAACGTGTGGTGGACGAGCGGAGCCATGGGCAGAGGAAATCATGAGCGCTAACTGGTACAAACAGCCGCCAGCAGAATGACCCAGACTGTGATGCCGCCCGATGTGCTGGAGATCTTGAAGCCCGAATGGGTCGTTCCCCTCGTCTCCGTCCTCGTACATAAGGACAACAAGGACGAGAACGGCTCCATCTTCGAGGTTGGCGGTGGTCACATTGCCAAGCTGCGTTGGGAGCGGTCCAGCGGTCAACTCCTCAAGGCCGACGACAGCTACACACCCAGCGCCGTTATCAAGAAGTGGGATCAGGCCATCGACTTCTCCAAGCCTCAGTACCCCTCCGGTCCTAATGATTTCTTGACGCTCTTGGAGGACTCCATGAAGATGGGCCCCAACGAGCAGGGCGAAAAGGTTGACTTCACCGGCCGTGTGGCTCTCGTCACTGGTGGTGGTGCCGGGTAAGCTTATAAAGCATCGCATGTTCTCGTTCGCAGCTAACAACAGTCTTTAGTATCGGTCGTGCCTACAGTTTGGCATTCGCCAAGCACGGCGCCACGGTCGTTGTCAACGACTTGGCCAACCCTGACGATGTTGTCAACGAAATCAAGAAGCTGGGCGGCAAGGCTGTTGGCGTCAAGGCATCAGCAGAAGACGGAGATGCCGTCGTCAAGGCTGCGATTGACGCTTTCGGACGCATCGACATCATCGTCAACAACGCCGGCATCCTCCGCGATAAGGCCTTCAACAACATGGACGACAGCCTCTGGGACCCCGTCCTGAACGTTCACCTTCGCGGTACCTACAAGGTCACCAAGGCCGCCTGGCCGTATTTCCTCAAGCAGAAGTACGGACGCGTCATCAACACCACCTCCACCTCTGGCATCTACGGCAACTTTGGCCAGGCCAACTACGCCGCGGCAGTGAGTTTCACCGTGCTGAAAACCTCGAGACATGATCGCTAACAGCCGAACAGAAATGCGGTATCCTTGGCTTCTCCCGTGCGCTCGCGCTCGAGGGCTACAAGTACAACATATACGTCAACACCATTGCCCCCAACGCCGGCACTGCGATGACAAGAACCATCATGCCCGAGGAAATGGTTCAGGCCTTCAAGCCCGACTACATTGCGCCCGTTGTCCTCGCCCTCTCCAGCGACAAGGTCCCCAAGAACCCTACCGGCGGCCTGTACGAGGTTGGCAGCGGTTGGGTCGGCCAGACCCGCTGGCAGAGAACCGGCGGCCACGGCTTCCCCGTCGACGTCCCCTTGACTCCCGAGGAGGTTCTCAAGCACTGGGACGCTATCAGAAACTTCGAGGACGGTCGCGCCGACCACCCCGAGAAGACTCAAGATGGCCTTCAGAGCATCATGGCAAACATGGAGAACAAGAGCAACAAGTCCAAGGTATGAAGACTTCTTCAGTAGCGCAATCCTGTAAAGTAGCAATAGTATCAAAAATAAGAACAATATTGATCATGTGTCTTTACAGTCAGAGGCAAGCTCCGGAGGTGACACCAAGTACCTTGACGCCATCAAGGCCGCGCAGAACGCCGAGGGCAAGGGAACCGAGTTCCAGTACGAGGAGCGCGACGTGATGCTCTACAACTTGGGCATCGGTGCCAAGCGCGACCAGCTCAAGTACGTCTTTGAGGGCGCCGACGACTTCCAGGTCGTGCCGACGTTTGGCGTCATCCCGCCCTTCAACACGGAAATGCCGTACAACTTTGACGACATCGTCCCCAACTTCTCCCCCATGATGCTCCTGCACGGCGAGCAATACCTCGAGATCAAGAAGTACCCCATCCCCACCGCCGCCAAGCTCGTGTCCACCGGCAAGCTCCTCGAGGTCGTCGACAAGGGCAACGCCGCCATTGTCAAGAGCGGCATCACCACC